AAGAGGGCCTGTTTAAGAACGAAATATATAAGTGGTAAGAAAAGAAAAGAAAGGAAAAAGAGAATTATCGCGATAATTAAAATCGTCGTTTGCTATGTTTTAATGATCGATCAGTATTGGATTTAATTTTCGACGATTTTACTACACTTTAATGGTAATACAGATTGTCGACGAATATAGATTTAATGATGCCGAAGTCTTGCATCCTTTTTCAGTGACGCTGATGAAAAATTGTTAAAAAATTGGATTTACGATCATTCTTAAAGAGCGGTCGTTTTTATATGTCTTGAATAAACAGGGTGGCATGAATCATGCATAACATAATTTACAAGTGATTATGATGAAATCTAGCAAATTAACTGCCATTTGTTGGTTTTTTGCAATCAAAGTTTTTTAAAAATTCCCTTTCTATGGAACAATCTTATCTTCGACATTATACGCGTTATTCGTCGTAAGTTACTTTAATTTATTACATTTGTATAACTTTATTAGCACTTTAATGATCCAGTATCTGATGAACATACATTTGTTCCAGTACCAATGTATTTCCTTTGATTATTTACGCTGTTTTAATATATTTCATCGAGTCACTTACTATGTTTCACCGCATCTTCAATCTCATTGAAATGAGATTCTTCGATTCAATGATATCTTATTTAATAACGCGTGTATAGTTATCTTTGACATAAGATTATTCAGGATTAATAGTATAACATCACACGTAGTGCTGACTTTTTTTTATTTCTGTGTAACATTTCTGTTGCATATTTATTCACCTTTTAAAACACGTCAAACGTATCAATCAAGAGTAGCAATTATGACGTATATAGTCTGCAGCCAGTCTTTAGTGATTCAGTCTCTTAAGGAGATTGTAATCCTAATCTAGACGGAATACACTGAATACAAATAACGTTGAAAATAAGTTATCGTTATATAAATATCGTATGTCGTTACAAGCACCACTTATAAGAGTGGATGTTAGAAAATAAGAGAACATTAATTACGAAATTCGTGAATTTCATACAGATAACCAATTTTTCCGCGTTTCGATAAAATGTCGATGTATTACTAATTTAGCATGATGCATTAATAACATATTGTTGTAGGTCTTCTTATCGTCGATTAATAAGAGAGAAAGCAAAACAAGAGAAAAATACGTTCGACTTTAGTTAACCTTGACTAACGCGATACTGACATTGTTTTGGTTAATGAAATGCTCAGTATGTGTGAAAGATCGATAACTTTCTAGTTCTAAATGAGCAACATTTCCTTCACCGGCTCTTTCACTTACGATTACTCGGTTATCTTCTGAGATATTTTACATGAAATTATTCTTTCTGTCACGGATAATTTATTTAAAATTTTTACATTGCTTCTCATTAAGATAGATGCATATAGCATGCTTATTTAATCCTTTCACTACGATCTAATTCTGAAAAATAATTTACTGGAAAAGTATTTGATTCTAATTAACCATTACACCTCTATTCCATTCACGATAAAATTGTACAAAAATTGGAGAAAGTCTTCAAATTTTTTGCATGTTAAAACAGGTTAAATATAACTTTGGTTTAGGTTAGTTAAGTTATAATTCTAATATACGACAAGAATATCGTATTGCTAAGGATTAATTTAAGTTGTCCTAAGGTTACTAATAGCATAACAGCGATGGCTTCTTGATATAGTGTAATCGTAACACGTGTCATCGTGTGTCGCTATTTGTACCAAAATGGTGCGCTTATTTATCTTTAAAGTCATAGCGAAAGTAATAAATGCTAATGTCTTTGTGAGCGACAATTATAATTGTCGCGGCTGACAGATGTCATTTACTTTTCCAGCTCGATAACGTGTGCTGAATGAGAAACAATCGAAACGATTATCGTTGACAAGACACGTTCAGAGAATAGAAAATTCTTTAGTTGTGTTAGCAGTTCATATAGTAATTCGATATTTTAATATCGTTCCCTCGTTTTAGACATTAATTACAGGATTCGCAATTAGATCAATGCAATTATAATTTTCTAAATTTTATCTCAATTCCACATTTCACAAATAAAAGATAATTTATTCTTACGTTTTATGTTTAAGCAAATCAATCAATATAATGCACACAAGTAAGATAGCAAAATGACGGACATTCGTTATGGAAGTTGTGCTAATAAAAAATCAACGGATTGTTAATAATTCAACTAAAATCATGAAATTGATTGAGTGGACTGCTACCGATCAAAGCACACAATTGACAGGCTTGGGTCATTCATAAGAGACCCTAACTTCTCGTGTAATATCGAGTGATAAATGTTTTATCAGTAAAAGGAGCATTGAACCTTTCGGCTTCCCTGTCTTAAAGAAATGCATTCTGATATATCGGTAATATTTATTCACGTCATGGGACAAATATATAAAAAATATTTATTGAAAACAGTTCTGACAGTTGTGAAACACTAGTTCCACAATGAAATCAGTAGAAACTCTCGATCATTCGAATAAAAATTAATTTGATCTGAGGTCAAGATCAAGCGACGATGTTCTCATCTTTTGATCTTCTTTGGAACATTTTTTGAAAGTTTCTTACGAAATTTAAGCATCTTCTGCGTATATGATTACATTTAAACGTATACGTAGCTGTTCAATGGCCGAGACCTTTAAACGGTTACTACAGAGACGTTTACATTGGTTAATTTATTTTGAAAATATGCTAATGTGACAGCTCGTGTTTTTGAACAGAGACGTAAGTGCCATTGCCTTCTCCACGAGGGAATTCCTTTGGTGGACCCATTAAGCATATTACGTGTAACAGAAAGTTGTAGCAAGATATTTGTTTCGAGGTTCTCATAATTCATATTTGACCTTGTCCCTTTCGGTATTTTTCGTCTTATTAGATGTCTCCTTCAACGTTCCGGTTATTCAACGTTCACGAAACGTAGTTTCTTTGTGTTACTTTCGAATTTGATTTGATTATAGAATAGAAGTTTATTGTGTCTGGATAGTTCATTATATAATCAAGTATATAATTTAATTTTACTCTGCTAAGTGTTAAGAGGTCTTCAAATGACTTCCGTCTTTATTTCTGGCTTATTTATCGCTTTGCGAATCGTCTAAACTGTGATCCCTGAACTTCGATCTGATGGATTGTAATGAAAATTAGGATGAAACGATTTATAAAACACGATGCAATAAATGTATTCGATGATCGTGGTGAATGCAAATTATATATGGAGATGCAAATTCTATCGAGACGTTGAGTCGGGACGTAATTGAAATCATTAAATGAGTGAATAAAGATTATTAATAACAGGGAAAACAGATGAAAGGGAAAGAAAAACTGATAGCTTAGGATTAGATGTGATGTTATCATTTACTTTTTTTTCTGTCTGCATTTAGAATGAATTATTTAGTCAACTGTTCGTACTGATCGTTTTGTAATTCAAATGATTGTTAGTACGTTGAAGAAAAACAGGAAGATGATGAGAAATTACCATCGTTTCCTATAATATATTAATAATAATTAATATAAGGTTACATGTACATGTAATGTTGTTTCTTCGCTTGATTCAGATGTTTTGATAACGTTCTTTCCTATGTTGCACTTCTTAGACGATTGGCGTACATATGTGCGTAGGATTACTTACTTTTAAACTGTTGTAACGGGTTTGTAAATTTCATGGTTGCGACCTGGTTTTCACGTATCTCGTTGCTTTCCTTTTTTCGTCTGCTTGATCTTAAGGTTCTGAAACAAAAGTAAATGCTGCAAAAAGTAAATCGGTTTACTTACGTCGTAATACTTGTAACCTTAATTCGATCAATCAGATAATCGACTTTTCATTCATGTGAAATAATACGCCGAAACACATATCAGATTCACACAAAATAATTTTCTTTGAAAACTTTTATAAAATCAAAATGTTTCTGCTGTAAATTCATTTTCTAGATAACATGTTAATTTCTGTTAAATATATTGTAATAATCCCGTGGTTTTCATTTACAAAACTATTAATACACAGAATTGTCATGACGTGAAAATATACTCTTGTGTACTTTCGCGTAGGATCACGTTTTAAACATAGTGATTCTATTGAGCATGGCTTAGATGAATAGTACAGGAAGTTCGAAAAAATGTGTGCAAACGTTTCAATAAGGGTACACATGTGTTGCAAGTTTGAAACGGAAATCCCTCAAGTTTGTCGAAGTTATTGGCGCTTTAGCGAGTTATTTACATAGCTGAGAATAATCCTTTTTTACCGGTAGAACCTTCTATTCCTCGAACTTTCAACTTTTTTCCGTTTTCCCATGTCTAATGTCTCTTGTGAATGTCATCATGGCTTTAAGATACATTTACGTCATGCGAATGTAGATGCTCGTCACTGATGTGTACCGAGGATTTGCAATGTTAATCGACAATAGTATTGCAGCAACAGAACAAACGAAAAGGTTCTTGAGAGTGTAGCTTGTAAACTTTTATCGTATACATGAATAATGGATCGTTTCTTGGCAACGTTATTACAAATCGGTTGTTAAATTAATTAAAGATCGATTAATACTTGTGAAACATATAAGTCATCGATTAATGTTTTCTAATTTTGTTAAGTGACTAGAGAGTAATTGAAACGTGATAAATGTTTGTCGAACAGGCGATGCTTCATGATTTATTTAATATATTGGTCTACTAAAAATTGTTAAGCAAAACTTTCAAATAGAATAAATTCAATTATGATTAATGTCCTATTTCGGTTTTAAATATTGCATCTCATACAAATGAATCAAAATTTCATTGAAAAAGTTTACATTTTATTACTCGTCCTTTCCCCTTTATTATTTTTTCTTCATTTTTTTATTCCAAGTTTATATTTTTGTACATTCTTAATGTTCAATAAATGTTCGTGATTCTTCTATTTTCAGTCCTACATTTTTTTGGTTTTTGAATATTTAAAATATTGCCATATTATGCTGCAAAAAGTAAATCGGTTTACTTACGTCGTAATACTTGTAACCTTAATTCGATCAATCAGATAATCGACTTTTCATTCATGTGAAATAATACGCCGAAACACATATCAGATTCACACAAAATAATTTTCTTTGAAAACTTTTATAAAATCAAAATGTTTCTGCTGTAAATTCATTTTCTAGATAACATGTTAATTTCTGTTAAATATATTGTAATAATCCCGTGGTTTTCATTTACAAAACTATTAATACACAGAATTGTCATGACGTGAAAATATACTCTTGTGTACTTTCGCGTAGGATCACGTTTTAAACATAGTGATTCTATTGAGCATGGCTTAGATGAATAGTACAGGAAGTTCGAAAAAATGTGTGCAAACGTTTCAATAAGGGTACACATGTGTTGCAAGTTTGAAACGGAAATCCCTCAAGTTTGTCGAAGTTATTGGCGCTTTAGCGAGTTATTTACATAGCTGAGAATAATCCTTTTTTACCGGTAGAACCTTCTATTCCTCGAACTTTCAACTTTTTTCCGTTTTCCCATGTCTAATGTCTCTTGTGAATGTCATCATGGCTTTAAGATACATTTACGTCATGCGAATGTAGATGCTCGTCACTGATGTGTACCGAGGATTTGCAATGTTAATCGACAATAGTATTGCAGCAACAGAACAAACGAAAAGGTTCTTGAGAGTGTAGCTTGTAAACTTTTATCGTATACATGAATAATGGATCGTTTCTTGGCAACGTTATTACAAATCGGTTGTTAAATTAATTAAAGATCGATTAATACTTGTGAAACATATAAGTCATCGATTAATGTTTTCTAATTTTGTTAAGTGACTAGAGAGTAATTGAAACGTGATAAATGTTTGTCGAACAGGCGATGCTTCATGATTTATTTAATATATTGGTCTACTAAAAATTGTTAAGCAAAACTTTCAAATAGAATAAATTCAATTATGATTAATGTCCTATTTCGGTTTTAAATATTGCATCTCATACAAATGAATCAAAATTTCATTGAAAAAGTTTACATTTTATTACTCGTCCTTTCCCCTTTATTATTTTTTCTTCATTTTTTTATTCCAAGTTTATATTTTTGTACATTCTTAATGTTCAATAAATGTTCGTGATTCTTCTATTTTCAGTCCTACATTTTTTTGGTTTTTGAATATTTAAAATATTGCCATATTTGTCATTCATGTTGACATCAATTTAGAAGTATATGTAGATATTCTGACTAACAAAAAAAAAAAGAATTGCACAGTAAAAATTCGAGAAGACATAATAAATATGTTTTCGTGCTATAAATAACCGAATAATTCTAAAAAAGTTCGAATTTTCCTGCAATAAAATTAGCCTTTCTCTAATCATGTTATGATCCACTTCTTTTCACTCTTTCACAGAACGATGAACTGTTTGAGGTAACTAGAAAACGATATATAACGATACTTTATTTTAGGAAGCACCAGTTATTGAGCAAGTGTTAAAAACCAGTATCCAAACATATTTACATATATAAACTTTGATTAAATTATGAATATACATTATTTGAAATTTAGTAACCAGTCTAGGATCTTTGGATCTTACTCATCGAGATGTATCACATTTAAGTCGAAGGGTTATGTTTATAAAATTAAACTCGAACGCTAAGGATTCAATAAGCACTTGTTTCATCTCGAACTTCACTGGTCCAATTCGTCTAGTGACTTTAACGCTTGGTAGAGACGAACTTCGTGTTAAGAAGCGTGAATACTGACATGAACAATTTCGAAAGTTTCGAAGATAGAAGGTTATCTCCTTTTAACTGTTTCTCATCGGAATCGTGTATATACTTCGCGAATTTCGAACACATATATAAGGTGTAATAAGGTAATATATAAGGTGTATACAAGGTGTACTTAAAAATTTCCTTTCAATGAAAGAGATGTCTATTTTTCCTTGCTCGAATGAAGAATGACATATTTCCGGAACATAACATTTTTCAACTTGACACTGAAGAATTTATCAAGATGATTAACCAATCATGAACATTATACTTGCTTAGAAAGTAAGAAGAAAACAAAGAAGTATGAAAATCATGGACTTACGTAAATAAAGTAATGAATGCACTACTAAATATATTTGTTTTCCACCCATTTTATTATTTTCCCACGTATCTGTATCTCATTTTGACTATGTAATTTCAAGCCGACGAATTCATTCATTCGTAAGATTATTTGTTTGCAACAAGTAGCGGAATTTACGCGTTTCTTCTTCTTTTACTTTTTTTTTAATAACTTAATTTCAAGTAATATGCTAAAGACACTCACAGGTGACACACCTCAAAGACACAATAAACTAAGTGATCCGAGTAGAACGAGCTATCTTGTCATCTTTCAGGGACGCGTCTTGCATTGATATTGAAATATAAAGCGAAACAGAGTGCATATGCAGAATCGTACGTGATATGGGTATTTATTAAGCATCTCTTGGTGAAATCAGAGCTACCAAGCTGTTCGGAGAAAATATATTCTGTATATTTAATATTGACAGTATACCTGGACGTTAACCATTTTTATGACTCCTTTTTTACCGCTTTTTAGTTAAAAAAAAAATGTAATTTCCGGTCATTTCAATTTGAATCTCTTTAGGAAAGGAGAAAATTAAAACAATGTTTAGAAAAATGATTATTTATTATAATTTATCGTTTCGTTTGAATTTTAATTCAATATTTTATGTCGTAGTACCAATTGAAAGACACGTTGGACCTTTATTTATGTTAAAAAGGAACGACAGTTAGGTGAATACTCTCTACTTTTAATTAGCATCATTATTATCAATTCTTAACTGACTTGTTCTAACAAACGTCAAATTCTTAAAAAACAAAAAAAAATCCCCTCTAATCCAGAAATTCCGGTTGAATCTAATTTTATCACAGCATTTTTAAAATGACACGTAAGATGCCTTATCGCATAACAGGTCCGATCCTTGTTGCTAATCAGTCTTGCATGTTGTTTTTCGCAAAACTTTCTGAGAACAATTAATTCATGGCATGTCACATGTACTTACTGAAGAAGTACAATCTTTGGAAATTCCAACAGATCGAACTGGTCCAAGAGTAAACACTTTTTACACATCCATGATCTCTATTTGATTAAGATTTCGTTGTCGATAGAAAAAGAACTGCACGTAATTCCCCCAGTGATTAAATTCTTGAAACACACGAATTTAGGAGAACGAGAATTATTCAAACATTCTATTACGTGAAAATACGTAACTTTGCTCCGGTAAGAAATTTTATATCGCTTTCGACTACACATTCCCTCCCTATCTTGTCATTAGTGAGCAAGAGTCTTGTGTTCACTCTGTTTTATACCGTCTCCTGATCACTAACCCCCATACGACACCGATGGAGACAAAGTCTACGATTTTTCTTGTTGCTCAGCATCGGTACACCGATAGTATGTAATGCATTTCAAATGCAGAAAAGGATTTAGCGAAAGGATTCATCGATTTTCTCTCATTTTTTATGAGAAAACATTCGTAATACGAGTAATTACATTATTTCGTCTTATAAAAATGTTAAAGTAATCTTTAAAAATAAATTAAAAATTGAAAGAAGTAGTTAGAAAAAAAATATATATATATTGAAAATTAGTATTATAGTATTTTGTGCTATTTTCCTTTTCTTTTTGAATTTTTTGGATAGTGGTTTTTCATTCATTATTCTTTTCTCATGGCTTGTTTTAATAAAGAAAATAGCTACCTGTAAAAAATGTAACATTTCCTATTTTTGTGTCCTCCGTTTTGATAGTTAAAAGATTAATACGAATTAATAAGTTATATTTTGAAAAATTATAATTTATATTAAAAATGAAAATTAGAAGTTGCATCTTGAAAAATTTGAAACTTTGATAGCAGTAAATTTTTTCTCAAAGTTGTGTATTATTCGGGAAATAATGATTTTTTTGTAACATCATTCTACGAAACGTGCTTTAAACATGAGCTGTTCACAATCATGTTTTTCAGAGTGGCAACTGGATGGCATTCCGAGTACCAAAAGCAGGTTTATAGTTACTCAAGATGCAGGATAAAGGTATTCACTAAATCTATGGGGAAGCGTGATTGGTCAAGTAGTTTAGTAAAATATTTATGGATATATTAATTCGCAAAATAATTGATTTTCTAGAACATAAACAATTCTAATATTTCTTAAATCAGGATTCAAGATTCCTTTATCATAATTTCAAATGAGAACAATAATTCTTGCAAAAATAATTGATTCCCCGAATACGACTCTTACTTTTAAATTTCTTGACGAATTTTTTGATGAAATTTTTTAAAAGAATTTTTTACATTATTTTATCTGATTTTCCCTTTCTACTTTATAATCTTTATATATTCTTTTCTGACTTTTAGAAATTTCTTTTTTATTTTAATCCATTGCAATGACAGTCATTAAGTTATATCGAAAGGCACATAAAAAATTCTTAAAAAATTCAGAATGTCACAGACATTTATATCATGAATATTAAAGAGATAATTCGTACGATAAAATTCATTTGAAAAGTTATGCAAATATGGTGATTATATTCACGTAAATTCTCATAGCGATACTTTATACCCAGGACCTTGATAACGTTCAGTAACTTGAGAAATCGTGCTTTCAATGTCATTTTGCTACTGATTTATTGAATTAATCATATTAAAAAAGGATATTCTATTTATAATATATACAGTATAAGCTTTTTATGATAGTGCATGGCAATTAAAGACTATAAGAAATCAATAGATATAATTTTTTATTCTAATTATTGACGTCTACCGAAAAACTAGAATTATTCACGATATTTGATGAGAAAATAATAATTTACTACTTAATCTTAATTACATAACAATAATTAATTAACAGCGATTAATTAAATAGTGACAGGTAATGATGCATAGCCATTATACAGTAGCCATGAACTTTTTAATTTAACGTATAAATCATGCATCTGAACTTTAATGAAGTAATTAATGATATAATGCGATGTTTGTTATCGATTATGACATAAAAAAACTAGGAAACTTGTTTTTGGCATTCCACACGATGACGTGTATTAGTTTTTATTATTGTCTGCGTCAAACCTTTTTCAAGACGTCTGTCAAGAAGTCTACGTACACGATAAATGTATTCAATGGAAAATACTTTAAAATGGAACGTCATATAGTAAAAGATTATCTTATATTGTTGACGATTTTGCTCAACATTTACTTCTTGCTGATTTTTTTCTGAAAGTGGTAGAACCTATTTGCATATGTGTTGAAAATGTTTAAAGGGAAAAAGAGAAAAATTTGACCAGGAAATCAGGTTTTACTCAACAAGATACTAAAACTATTATCGTAAACTTCATAAATGTTGAATGTTGACCATTTAACGAATTGCATGATTGCTTTTCGATACGATTTTCTTACAATCTTTCAGTGGAATTGTTAAAATTTATATTATTGTTAGGATAAATCATGAGTACATTATTCGTCTCTCATAACAATTCATTTAAATGAAATCACAGTCAACTTGAATTCTATTAATGATATTCCAGGAACTTCGAGTTTTCAGCGAGGAACTCATTACTCTTTCGATTGCAACCTTATTGGTTCTCCGAACGTCGTTGCCTAAATCTTATTTCGTAATAATCGGTCTAGCCAATAAATACTTCTATTTTTTCTTCTTGTACCGCTAATGATAAATCTCGAGTGCCGCGAACATGAATGTACCTTTCATTTCAACGTTTATACATAGTAATACTGTATATATATATTGACGAGTTCATGCGTAGCGAAAAATAATTTATGAGTAAAAGTCATGCTTCTAACTACGATATAAGAGGGTCAAATGACTATATTTTAATCAGTGTGGAAATTGTTTGCTGGTTAGATTTGCTAAATAGCTTTTATTAAAAATATTACTCGGGAATAGAATATGGCGTAATAAATTGTGAGTTCAAACATTTTGATCACACGCAGTTTCTTTGGGGTAGGAATTTTCTGATCAATTCGATTTGGTTTCGTAACATACATCTATAATGGCCTCTTACAGTGTTTGATTCTTCTTAACTCTCGAATTGTTGTCTGACTTATGACCACAGGGCAGCAATTACTTTTATGCAATTATGCTGCTGTAAAATAGTGAAGAATTGCAATCGAATAATTTATTTTAATGATTTAATTCAAATAACACTCGGTGACATAATATCTGCTGCTAAGTCTTTGATAACTTACCCGAAATCGCGATTGTACGATTTTAGAATACTTAAATGAATATCTAAGGAACACTATTGATCTTTACCTTCTTTTTCGTATTTCTTTCGTAACTTTTGTGACTGAAATATAAAAGTTTATGAATAATAGAAAACGCAAATTCACGATTTTACGATGGAAAGATTTTCCACAATTTTACATAAGCCTTGTTTATATCATTAATTATATGTTTAACACGAGTGCATTCCGAATTAACAACTTACGTGGACACTACGATTAATTTGAATGTTATTGATGTAAACTGTTCTCCATCTAAATAAAGTGGTTTCGTAGTATTTTATGACACTTCAAATTTTCATTTATCATTTCGGAAGAATTCTTTCTCGTTTTGTAATATTTATTTAAATTTTGAAAAAGTAGCTTCACGTTTATTTGCATATTATTTATACATGCATTCTGATATATAAAAGTGCTATACAAAATTCTTTTCATTTTTTGACAAAATGCACAAAAATGATAAATTTTTTAGGTAAGACATGAATACGTAATATTATGATTTTCTCAAATTATTTACAACTATTTCGAAATTATTAAAAACATATATATATATATATAGGTTTAATTATGGTTTATAGAATATACTTAAATATTGAACTTAAACAACCGAATTATAAAAGAAAATGAAAAAGATTAAAAAAATATAAAAATGTTATAGATGAAATTCTGACAACATGACAGAAATAATTAGTAAAAAGAATAAAAATTTGGAAATATTAAAAAGCCTTATCGTAAAAATATTAACATTGTTATAAAAATTGATATTAACAAAGTAAATACAAATAAATTTATAAAGTCATAAGAAAGAGGAATAATATCATTTTTTCTAATAAATATATCTTTCTTTGGAATAGATTTATTTAGAAAGAGCTGGCAGTTATTTTCAAGATAAGAAAATTAATAAAACGGCGTTTAAAAAAAAATATGACAGTTTTACATGCACAATAATCATTAAATATACAAAGTAATCATTGGTATGAATAGAAAAAGAGTTGACAATACCTTAAACATAAAAAAAATGCTTGAATATTCATTAACAATGAATATTAATGAACATTTTTTAATAAATAATATCAAAGCTTAATAACATCATGAAACAACTTACTGGGATAAAATCATCGATGGGATAAAAATATTAAGAGTTGATTAAGAATATGATAGTATTTATATGTACAAAAAATAATTTATACCAAAATGAATTTCAGTTTGTTTGAAAAATAAAAATTATACATGTAATACAAATAAAAATAGAAAGTATATATAAGAAAGATAAACATTCAGCAGATTTTAAAACTTGATATTGATGTTAAATTGCGATTTGTGATAAAAAGCACTTATTATCAAGTGATTCAAACACTAATTTGTTTACATTGATTCATTAAAAATATTACAAATTCAAAGTTACGTTAGTTTAGATAACGTTCAGAATAATTTAATTTAATAATACACGAAAGCTATATATAGTTCATCAAATTATATGTAAGTACATAGAGTAATAAATTAATTCATTTATAAAATCAAAATTAATTGTTAATACAAATATAATATATTGTCGATCATTTCAAGGATTTGTTTCTCTTATGAAGTTTCGAAAAATTGTACAGTAAGATTAAAGGAACAAAATGGAATGCTTCTTTTCATGTTTTTATTACTATTTTTAATAATATTGTTATTATGTGATAATAACATTTTTTGAATCTCGTATTAATACTGAGTATCGTAAAAAATTATCAACATTTTTCTTTTCCTGAAGAAAAAAATTTGTTTAATAACATATGCCATAATTAATTTTTTCAATTTAACATAATTTATTATTTAGCTAATTTGCTTTATTTAACTAATGTTGGTAGCCGAAGTACGAAAAGACTAAATTTGACATGGACAGTATGAATACAATAAAATTATAGAGTAGATGATCTTAATAATTCATTGTCAATGTTTCTCATCAGATGATTACCGATCTACCCTAACCTAAATAAAGTTAAGATTTAACAATTGCGTAGAGAAATTGTTCCCTTTCGTAA